GATGGATAATATCCAAGAAAATTTTTATTCAATTGACTCTTCACCATCGTCAAGAAGTTTTAGATTTGATATGCATTCTGTCTTGTTCCAGTAGCCTTTCAATAGGATACTTCTTCAAAACAGGCGTGAGGAATTCCTCTGCTTAAGATGCCATTTTAACAACTGTGACTATAGTGCATCTTGTGGAAAGATATGGAAACTAAAGCAGCACGAGTTATAAACTTGGTCACACAACCTTCTAAAATTAATTTAGTTCAAATTCCTTTGCAACACGGTTCACAAGTTTTGAAATGGCATCCTGACTTGCCTCCTAATGTAATTTATGTAAAATAAATGTTAGTATAACTGTATAATGTCAATTGTAAACGGTGTTTAGTGAAGTGTTTTTTCAAGGTTCTAACTGAGCACTCAAAGAAAACCATAAGAAAATTCACCACATTCTCTGGCTGACTAAGAATCAGACAGAACGCTATTGAAATAGATAAAAGCATCATCAAACTTAGGAATGTTCCATGTTAACCTGGAGGCAAGAAATGAACAGTTAGTTCATTCTAACCACAAACTTTATATTTGTGGAGAACCTTGTGGAAAATGTACAAGTGTACGATGAATTGAAAGTGTCTGATTGCAGCTGTTACCCGCAATTTTAATTGTTGCAGAAATTGGACTGGTGGAGTGTCGGTGTAATGATGATCGGGTGCAGCCCCTTTCCATATAACGAATATAGAAATGAAGAAGAACTCCGTAGGTAAGTATAGTAAAATTGCTAGATTGATTGGGCCCTCGCCCCCTGTTCATTATATTCAGCGCGCTCCTGTAACATCCTCATTTTCTCTTTAGCCTCTTCCTCTGTCCCCCCCCCCCTCTTATTTCCACTGAGCCTGGCGTTTATCCTCCAGATACAGTCAAACCTCTGTTCACAAATGCCTCGGATCACGAACAATTCGGTTTACGAACAAATTTTCCGAACACAAAGCGTCTCGGATTATGTACTGTGTCTCGAGTTACGAACACGCAAGCCGTCAACATCGTGGAGCGATAAGCTGGGAGTATCAGCGTCGGCAGTGTTCGTAGAAGAATGATCCAGCACGGGGCCAAAGAAAGACGATGATAGCAGCGAAGCGAAAAAATACCAATATCATGATAGATGTTAAGAAAGAACGATATCACCCCGATAAAACAGTAGCAAGCCGCAGCATAAACATTTTCAATGATAATGCCGTGTGTCACTTTAGAAACATTTTAAAACGTAGACAAAAACAAATCACACTGGACAACTTTTTAGTGAGACAGAGGCCCAGTGAGTCTGATGCAGAGTCGAGTGGTGCCAAGAGACAGAAAAAAGAAAAAGAATCCCCTTGCAAACAATAACATTTCACTTCCTCACCACCTTCCACTTACGCCGTCAACTCTCCTCCATAACTAAATTAAGTTTTCGTCTATATTTGATCTGCTTAGTGTTGTGTTTATCTTTTTTGCGATAGATTTGATGGTTTCCACTGATTTTGTGTTAAGAACTTGTGCACAAAGTACTGTTGTAAAATTTTAAATAAGCAATCATCTGGGTCCAGGAACGGATTAATCCATTTTACATTAATTCCTATGGGGAAAATGGTTTCGTTTTACGAACGACAATACAGGAACGAATTAAGTTCGTGAACCGAGGTTTGACTGTATTTTTCTCCAGCTTGCGTTTATTCCTCCCCTGCCCCCCCCACTTCCTCACTCTTCCCCTTTTTCTTACAAATGATTAGTTCATTACTTCTAGGCCACTAGTAAGACCTACTTGTAGCTGTCGATGGAAGGATAATATTAAAAGCAATCTTACGGGAATGTTGTGGGTGGCTGTGGGCTGGATTCACCTGGTTCGGGATACCAGCTGGTGGCAAGCTTTTGTGAACACCAACATGAACTTTCATAAGTTAAGAGGGAATTTATTGACTAGCTGAATTTCTCAAGAAGGATGCAGCTCCATGCATTTCCACCTTTGCTTCTGACTAATGGTGTTGGTTTGTGTTACAGTAGCCCCCATCAGGCGTAGCCTGACGTTGAATCTAGAAGCTACGTCGTCGCCCAAACAGAGACTTGGCTTGTCATTAAATCTTGGAGGAACATCTTTCATATCTGCCCTAGGAGACTCTGTTGATGTGCAACTCCCCCTAGAATGCCAGGGGTAAGTACAACAATCCTGCCAACTGCTGCAGATTTTCCTTAAAAAAGGATGTACTGGAAATGGATTATGAAGTTCAATGTACTGTCGCCATGACAAACCAAGTTAGGAGAGAAACGAAGAGAAAGAGTCTGGGAATATTCTTAGATGTACCCATTGTTGTCACAAAATATAAAATTACTTCATAACATTTTTTGAAAATAGATGTACATATCACCTAGAGCATACCGCCACGGTGGTCTAGTGGTCAGAACACTAGCCTTGTAATCCTGGGGTCCCGGGTTCAATTCCCGGTGGTGCTCAGATTTATAACTTGTGTTGGGCAAGACCGTGGTCTAGGTGTACGTTGAGCGTTGTCTGGATATAAATTTATGTGTAGGCTTATTTTATTAAATTCTGTCCTGTATTTGACAAAATAAGGAACCAGTCTTATTAAATTATCATACGTGATTCAACCGCCACGGTGGTCTAGCGGTTAGAACGCTGGCCTTGTAATCCTTGGGTGGGGTCTCGGGTTCGATTCCCGGCGGTGCCCGAATTTTTAACTTGTGTTGGGCAAGGCCGTGGCCTAGGCAACACGGAGTTTTCCTCATTGGCATCCCAACAATTACTCCATTCCCACACAGAAGAAGGCAATGGCAAACCACTTCTGGATCATCTGCCAAGAACGTATATGAACAGGTCCCAGTCCGAGAAAAGGATGGAAGGATCCCGTTCATATGGACCTGTCGGCAGATAGAACACTAATAATAAAAAAAATAATAATCACCTAGAGCAGCGTTTCTTAAATTATGTTATGCGTACCACTGGTGGTACGCGAGCCATTATTGAGTGGTATGTGAACTAAGTAATAAAATGAAAAGATGATATTAACATAAATAAGTTTTCCCTGAACACATTTGGTTAGTGATACATTTAATGTGTTAAGTTAGAATTAGTGGTATGCCAGCGGAAAAGGTTGAGAACCCCTGACGTAGAGGATTGTAAAGGGGATATCTGTAGAAAAATAGCAACTTTATAAACTGAGAAGATGGACAGATTTTATTAAGCTGGCTCTGAGAGAAATGTGGCGAGAAGGTGTGCGTTAGATGGAAGTGTTGCAGGATCATGCTGGAAGGTGAACTTTCATTTTAGAAGGTCGAACCTTAAGGTTCTGTTACCAGAGATTTAAATTGTGAGCTTACAAATGTATGAAGATTTAAAATACAGGTTAGGGCGCATAATAGCAGTGACTGATTAAATGTTTACTGAGTTTTCCTCAGTTCACCAAAGTAGATCTAGAAGCAGAACTGAACACCATGTTGTAGCCGCACATTGTTTCCCCTTAGTCATGGGGTCATGGCAAGACATGACCCATTTGTGGAGAGTTTTGGCTTTCTGTTCCCTCCATTAAGTCTGGTATGATGTAAAAATAGTTTTAATCAAACATTAATGTCTTGATAACATTATATCAGTCACGCAGACTTTCAAATGTTGAATGTAGTGGATGGCGTTCGCAGTTTCTTAAGTTCCTTGCTCCATTTTGTGGTTTTGAATTCATATCAGTATCCAGAATGGTGAGAATAAATGATGAAAAATTGAAACAGCACATGGAGGATGAGATGAATAGGTAACATTTTCATTACGTTTACACATGTAACTATAACCTATTTGATTCGAATAAATTCTGAATCTAATTACCTAATTCTGCTCTGTTATCGGGCATCTCAGTATACCAAATGACAAGATTCGTCACATGTTTGCCATGTCATTAACAATTATGGACTGTGTATACTTGTAGAAAATGTTTCAACAGTTGAAATTAATTATTTTTTTGTGGTTTGTTTGAGATGCATTTATTGAATGGTTTTTGTAATTATGTACTGTATATTGAAATTTCCACATCACAAGGGTTGAATGAATAACCTGAAATTTACACTATAGTACTCTTTGCACTGACTGTTTATGATGAATTATGTGTGTGTATATACAGTGTGTCCGGATGAAAGGTATCCAAAATAAAAAATTTATATCTCGGAAACTAATTGTCAAACACGTATCCGGTTTATGTCATCAGAAAGGAAAACTCTGAAAGTTTTTTTCCGAGTATATAAATTTCTTAGTAAATTTCAATGTGGGCTCCCCTGGTGGCACGACAAATATCCAGACGATAGTTACCGAAGCCACAGCGTCCCTTATGCTGGCTTTCAGGTTTTAAAGGTCGTTGATCTTAACCTGGTAGACAATGTTCTTCACATAACCCCACAAGAAAAAATCCAATGGGGTTAAATCTGGCGACCTAGGAGGCCAAGCGATTGGTCCACCTCTGCCGATCCATCTCCCAGCCATCTCTCTGTCCAGGTGATTCCTAACATGGTGGCAGAAATGTGGCGGCGCCCCATCTTGTTGGAGGATAGTTTGAGGTGGTAATTGGGGCAGCGCGTACAGCTCCAGCATGTCAAGTACGAACGTCCGATCACAGTCTTTTCTGAAAAGAAAAATGGCCCAATGAACTTGTCGTGCATTTAGCCGGCCTACACGTTCACCTTGGGGCTGCCTCTCTCCAACTCAAATGTGACACGTGGATTTTGACTGCCCCAAATCCTGCAGTTGTACCTGTCTACAACTCCATTGACATGGAACGTCACCTCATCCGAGAAGCACACTTGGCGGAGGAAATCGGGTGACGCCTCAATTCTTTCTAGCATATCCACAGCGAAGTTTGTGCGTGCTACTTGGTCAGTCGGTTTTAGTGCATGAATCATTTGAATCTAGTACGCTCTTAGATGGAGCCTTTTGTGTAGCACATCGTGCACTGTTGAACGTGGAATTTGTAACTGCAAGCTAGCAGCATGAATTGATTTGTGCGGACTTCGCTGGAATGCCTCTCTAATGCGATTGACATTTTCTTCAGAGGTCCGTGTCTTTCCAGGAGATTTTACACGCAACAGACTACCTGTAGTCCTCAGTTTGTTGTCCCAGAACCGAATGCTTTTCCGTGTAGGAGGTTGACGTCCATACTGCGTTCTAAAACGACGCTGAACAGCCGTAAGAGATTGCAACTCTGCTAGCCACAACACGCATTGAACCTGTTCCTGTGGTGTCAACATCATTATTGAGCTCGCCGAAGGTCACCAGCTGGCGCATGCACGTAAGCCGGGCATAAAAAAAACTTTCAAGGTTTTCCTTTCCGATGACATAAACCGGATACGTGTTTGACAATTAGTTTCCGAGATATAATTTTTTTATTTTGGATACCTTTCATCCGGACATCGTATGCCATTTTGAACACCTCATGTAGTTTGTGTTATAAATTATGTTCCTTTGTCCAAGTGAACAGCTTCGCCCAGAATTTCTTGCTCCCGAAGAATAATCGTGTGATAGCCTGCCATCATCTCCAGCAATGGTTGAGGTCAGTGGTACAACCATGGCAGAAGCTGGCTCACTAGCATTTCCCACATCATCACCAGCACCATCTGCAACATCTGGGGACTCCAACTCCCACCATTTAGCACCTGAACAAGATCGGCAGTCTCAATCAGGAGGTAGAGATGAGCAAAATAATGAAAATATCTGTCTTCTGGGTTGTTGCGCTGTGTAGTCTGGTCGATGTTAACCAACGTATCAGAGGTCATACTGCCTCCGTCATCAGAGTATGAAGATTTCTGTCTTCTGGGTTGTTGCGCTGTGTAGTCTGGTCGATGTTAACCAACGTTTCAGAGGTCATACTGCCTCCGTCATCAGAGTATGAAGATTTCTGTCTACTGGGTTGTTGCGCTGTGTAGTCTGGTCGATGTTAACCAACGTTTCAGAGGTCATACTGCCTCCGTCATCATCACTCTGATGACGGAGGCAGTATGACCTCTGAAACGTTGGTTAACGTCGACCAGACTACACAGCGCAACAACCCAGAAGACGGATATCTTCATACTCACCGCTGTGAGAACCTCATGTCTTACAAAATAATGAAACATCCTTACATTCAGAAACAATTCTATCAAACAATCTTTGCTGTTCAGTTGATATTTTCGCCATACGAATATATTATTTACTACCAAATTTTTGTTGGCATTAAAAGAGATAGTTAATGGTATGATGACCAACAAGTCGTCATCATCTTTACTAATATTTTAGAGCTGCCTGTGATATGTTTAGCAGCACTTTTAATAGGAGCAACAGTCTCAAAGTTGGTACATATAAATATTATACTTGAACCTGAAAGAGCCTACGTTACCTACCATAAGAGAGTTTACCGAGAAGTGCACTTCACAAGTTGTACTGATTGTACTGGCATTCCAAGGTGTGTGGCTTTCTGAGAGTGATAATTAAGCGTTGACTTTGACTCAAGTGATTTATTATGTGAGGAGTGAATTCGTGGAAAATGTTGTTCAGATATTTATACAAATACAGATTTTGTACATTTTTATTAATGCATAGGTCCTTTTATCATTATGATTGTGATTGTATCATTATGTGACTGCTATATTTCAGTTGGCGTCATTCCATGTTCCAGAGACTTGTTTAAAAGTGAAACATTTTGCGTTAAGACATCGTAACTTCAACTTAATTTAAACATGCTTTTAAAATGGCAGTTATTTGCCACATAATTCCCACAGCATTATTCACTACAGGGTGTGTGATGTTATAACGCTGAATTGTGGCCAATATGCTTGCAGAGCCCTTCTCATTGTCAAACTTGGCACTGTGAACTCCAACCTAACATCACAGGACAGAACACCAGTGCTTTATAGATCTAGGTGTCACCTTAAAAATTTGGAGCCATAATGGAATTTAAAGACAGAATGGAAGCAAATATGGGGAGACAGAGAAATGCATACAATAATTTGATCAGAAAAAAAAATCTTTGAAGACCTAGGTATAGATAAGAAGATAGTATTGAAATGATCAGATGTGAGGGTGTAGATCGGATTCATCTGACACAGGGAGGCATTAGGCTGAAACAAAGGGATTCAGGGCAGGAGACGTGGAACACATGGGGAGGGGGGGGGGAACTTGAGAGATGGAGGTAGAACCTCATCTTGTTAGATCGTGAGTGATTATCATAATTGTCTGTAAAGCAGTGCTGTACTACTCAGTCACGTGTGTGTGTTATTTCTCTGTTTTCACTTACCACCACCAGACCGTCGTGGGCTGAGTCTCGCATCTCTAGCTATTTCAGATGAGGCAGTATGTGAAAAATCCAGCACAACAATTTTTCCTCTTAAGTCTTTACTTAAAGTCCGTATGTAGGGGAGTTTATGCAGTTCACTATGGGTGTAAAAGGCACTCCTACTTTGTGTACCTTTGGCAGACCGTATAACCTCGGAGTTACCGCCGCGTGTCGTCTGATCTCCTTTTATCTATCTTTTGCCCACGCTGACTTCTTAATGAGGGAGATGGTTTGTCTCTCTATTTTGATATAAGGACTGGCGAAACACCTGGCAGATCTGCTGTGCCCTTTTGGTTGGATGTTCTGAACACCACGTCATCAACTCGGAGGCCTTTATCAACAAGATACAGAACATCAGGCTTCAAGAAACAGACACCATGGTGAGCTTGGATGTGGTCTCTCTGTTCACCAAAGTCCCGCTGGAGGATACTCTGCAGCTTTTAACATGGCACCTCGAAAGCTCTACCATAGCACTCATTAGGGTCCTCTCCACCACATATTTTATGTACAATGGCTCCTGCTACGAGCAAAAGGACGGAGTGGCCTAGGGGTTGCCACGCATGGCATAATACCATTGGCATGTTTGCCCTGTTATTAGTTCTGAATTTAAAGTCGTTAAGGAGAAAAGTATGAATTTTGTTTAATTAATCCGAAAACCGTACATGGAAGTGCAAAGTTCAGACCACTGTAATAAATAGCATTTTTGAATTGTGATATTGTCCTGCATTCTGGTGACGATACTATGAGGTAACGAATTAAGTGACTCTGGGTAGCAATACTAGCGGATGGTGTGTTATGATTGAGTTTATTAAGTGGCATTTTCCTTGTCTCAATATCTTATTCTTATGTTTGAATTTATATTTTCTTGATCACTTTATTTTTCAAGTGCTGTATTTCATGTTCTTCCCTCAAGCTTAGAGGCTGTGTGTCAGCAATATGAAGTCATCAAAAGGATATTTTGGTAATTAATGTTTTAATGTATGTTGTGTTAAGGTTTCCAAAGTTGACAGAACAGTATTTTGAGAAAAAGCCGTGGCCTGATGAAACAGATATTGAATGGATGAAGATTCATTAAGTTCATATACAGATCTTAATCAGAGTTTGAATTTTCAGGCATTATGATCGAGCTAAGTCACTGATGTTGGTGTATTTTACCACCACTTTCAGGTGTTATAAATCCTCTATAAGGAATTGTATTTCTGTCATATCTGTGCTCGTGTGTCTGGTTGTCTGACTTTAGAACAGAGGTTCGTTTCTTTCTATAATTACTGTGATTTGTTCAACTACATACTGAGTAAGTTTTGACAGTATCATTTACTGTTACAGTACGTTTTTATAATCTGTTTTGCAGTAAAATTTTGGTGATAACAATTACCATCTGATGTGAACCATGAGAGTAAATATCATCAAATAAATTAAGTTAGTAATGGTAGGTAATTAAAATTTGTACCATATGAAGTTAATTATTAATATTATGTATGCTATGCATATAATTCTATCCGAGATGAAATTATACATTTAACTTTTTCTTCCAATATAATTCTCACAAGAGCCACGGTGGTCTAGCGGTTTAAAGATGGTACTATTATAAATATTTTACTTAATTCTCATTATCCATTTAGTGTTTTCTTATCATATGTATATAAAGAGGTGGTTAATGTGATATTTTTAACATGACTGATTTTAGATTAACAAGCAGACTGAGCAGATGTGTCATTTGTTGGCAATTTGTTTCGTCCTTCATCCTCAATGCATTTATGAATCAATACATCAGGTGTTAAGATAGAACTACCATGAGAAGATGCAGTACAGAGAACTAAGTGTAAGTTGTTGAGGGTTTTAAAACTTTAAGTTACTATGTTTATTTACGGGCGTTTTTGTAGTGCATTACACCGACCCTTCTGCGAATTTGGAATGGCGGATTTTCATGAACAAATCAAATTTTGCCAAAGACTCGCCAAAACGGCTACGGAAACCTATGAAATGCTAAAGCAAGCATTTGGGGAGTCCGCAATGGGTCGTGCACAAACTTTTGTGTGGCATTCACGTTTTAAAAATGGCCGAACCCCTGGCGATGATGACGAGCGTTCTGGACGACCATCTTCGAGCACAACGCCCGAAAATGTTACCAAGATTCGGCAGGCCATTCACGAAGATCGACGTCGTACCATCAACGACTTGTGCGACATTGCTGGGATAGGCTATGGGACCTGTCAGCTGATTCTAAAGGAAGAACTCCACATGCGAAACCAAGGCTCCTGTCTGAGGACCAGAAGCAGAATCGACTTCTCGTTTGTCAGGAGCTAAAAGATCTTGCAAGAACCGACCCCAACTTCCTTCCTAAGCTCCGTGTGACTTCTTCCTCGTCCCAAAGATGAAAATTCAGCTAAAGGGAAGGAGATTTGAGACGATAGAAGAGATTCAGGCAGAATCGCAGATGGTGCTTGACAGGCTGACAAAGAAAGATTTCCAGGGATGCTTCCAGGCTTGGCAGCGGCGCTGGGATCGTTGTGTTCACTCCCAGGGGAACTACTTCGAGGGTGATGGATGAATTTAATACCTGAGATAAGTGCACGGGTTTTTATACGCGCAGTCTGGAAACCATTCGATCGCACCTCGTATTGTGTCTAAAGGAGTGTGGGAAGAGAGGCTAGATTCCAGTGTGCATGTTAGTGCAAGCTGAATAATATTCATCTAAATTTTAAAGAAACCATTGGATTTCATAAAACCTAGGGAATAAGTGACTGTCAGCTTCTCGATAAGAACTCTTGTTTGTAGATAGTTCCATATGTTATGAGGAAGAATAGGCTTATGGATACATGTTTGTGTATGTCCAGCTGCTCTCCTCCCAGAATTTTTGTAACCAGTTGATAGATTTTCTTTAAACTTGTTACAAACACCATATCACTAGAGGTCAGCCTACTTTTGTACTTTGTAACTACCTAGTACCACTAATATTAATATGGTGGTGGTACTAATACAACATACGTAATAGAAGGTCTTGAAATGTTTTGTGTGGTGGAAGGTGTTTGTGGTTGAGATTTGTACGAGGTGCGATCGGAAAGTTTAAAGACTGTGTCAATAGAGGGCGAACCGGATGCAGTACGAGCTTCTGCCG